GTATATATATATATATATATATATATAATAAACGCCCTCCAGTGGCACAGCGGTATGTCTTTAGACTTACAACACTAGAAACCGGGTTTCGATACCTGTGGTAGGCAGAGCACAGATATCCCATTGTGTAGCTTTGTGCTTAACTTCAAACAAACAAATATAATAAACTGACAAGAAGTACATAATGGCGTATATCATTATGCAAGCAAATTTAAGCCTATAAAGTTTATACTCCCTGAAACATTAGTTTTTATGACGTTTTTCGCTGGTATCTGTTTCGCTCTAATCGGTTGGAGCATATAATATGATTTTGTAGTTTCATTGTTTTTTATTTATATTTCTAGTATTTTTTATAACATATGCTTATATTTGAAGTGCTTTTTATTCTATGGTGTCTTTGAACTGGTCACATTTTACATCAGAAAGTTGGGTGATTTTTCTTCTGTTACTTTTTTTACAATTCATTCAGTTGTAGTAAAAATGTTTTTGATTAATTCAATGATATCACGATTTCGTTTGAACTCTACATTATCCTCATCTTATCTTCGATAACAGTATCGATAGCAGTTTCGGTGTTGACAGAGTTTATTGTTAGGCCAATGAATAAGCTGGTATAATGTGATAATAACGTAGACTACAGTTCGGAGTTTGTTGGTGATCGCTTTTAGATATCTAATGCCTCCTTAAGTGGGTGGAAAGCTCGTCTTGTTTATGTGTGCAAAACACAAAATCAATGACATTTGAACTGATATTAAGTCTTTTGTAGGAGTGGTGAGCGTCAAAGTAAATAATAATACAAAAAATAGGTATAATATTTTATCAAGATTTTGTGTGTTATATATTTCCTGTCAATAGGCAAATAAGTTTCATATTTTTTTCTTATTTATAGTCTATACGACACACGATGTGAGGCGTTGAAAATGTTATTACTTGATTATTGAACTGACAGATGATTTAATTTTTTTATTATTCAAATTTATTTGAGGACTGGAAACGCTATTGAGAATTTATATATTGAACATGAGGTTCATATCTGTAATATATGGAAACATGTAAACTAATACGTTGTCAGTTTGATTATTGTGACTATTATTAAAATGTAAGAATTTCATTTTCTTTTAATGCAAAGGTACACTCTATTGTGTTCTCGCGGGGAACAAATTTCGAATTTTAAGTGCTTCAAGCCCCGAATATATTACTAAGAGAACGGGATATTATTTTATGAATACAGGTCATATACACACAGCCATCATTAATTTTGAACTGATAGAGAATAGTCAGCTGGTCAACAGTAAGCTAACTCTGGCTGCTCTTGTCTGATAGAATAGTGGAATTTGACTCTTACAGTGCACCCTCGCCCCCAAAGTGCGAAGCACGTTTTTGCGGAAGCAGGCCGCGAACAATGAATTATTGGACCCTTTGTCTTAGTCCGCTAACCATTAGGCCACGACAAGCTCAAATGCTTTTAAATTCGATATACACATAAGCGAACGTACGTGGTAATGTTATGATAAATTCAGTTGGTAGTATTTCACACTTACGTGTTGTTTTCAAACATAAAAGAATAATGTTAAATGAGAAAAGACGTGATAAGTATATTGTCTTACAGCGGGAAAATAAGTCTGTTATTCTTTTTTACCCCTGAAATGTCTTTAAATCAACTGAATCTTTGGTCGTTATAAATTTGCTTTCTTGTAAAATAATAACAAACATTCACAGGTTTCTTCTAGTACTGTGTTTAAATACTTAATATTATTACCCAGACTAAATTGTAGCATTTCAATGTCTATGCCTCCCAGTGGCACAGTGGTATATCTGCGGATTTATACCGCTAGAAACCGAGTTTCGATACCCATGGTGGGCAGAGCACAGATGGCCCTTTGTATAGCTTTGCGCTTAACTACAAAACAACCAATCAATCAATGTATATTTTATATCGGCTGTAGTTATTTTATGTTAATTATAAGTAAACTTTGCATTCTGCTAGGTGGATTATCTTCGTGCCACGTGCATGCTTTGATGTTTTGGTGTGTGTGTGTTTTTTCATAGCAAAGCCACTTCTGGCTATTTGCTGTGTCCACCTAAGGAAATCGAACCTCTGTTTTCTTTCGTACGTATACGGTGAATAATATGGTTATGAGGTAATGTGTATTATAAATTTAGAGAAAGTTTTGCAAACTCCATATATTTAAGCCAAATAAAAACCGAAGTCATTTTGATGATATGTGAATTCACGATGCCATACTTTATTTTATTAAGATATGTTCAACTAGTATCAAAGCCCCCAACTTCGAATTAAAATTTGGTTTTCAGATTACTTAGACCATGAAGTCTTGCAGGTATTTCAGACAAACGTAGTGAAGTGTGCGAAAAATCGTTATTTTGTATATTACAATATTCATGACAGGAGCTCTATTATTCAGATGTCGGGATGAGTTTTTTATTGCTGTAACCAGCAGTATTATAACGCTAAAAGCAATGAGTTAGCGTCTAAGCTAAACCAAAACATTAGATAATGGTTTGGGAAGCAAACAAGTAAACGTACCTTACCGTGGTAGCTTTCATGCATGAAAATAGTTGTAACCATTATAATATTTAATAATGTAGCCACTACTAAACAACGAGAGACCAAGCCCTCGCTTTCGAAAGTCGTTATTAATTAATGAGATGCTAATAAACGCGCATCATTAACGTACGTCGTGGCACTAAATGGGCTTATTTCCATCAACAGGGAATATTGTATTTCCATAACGGTCAGTTTGAATGTTAATCATAATCACATCGAGAGAGCCAAGAGAAAAGTATTTAGAAAGGAAATGGAGTATTAGCAGCATAACTCCATTTTGGCTGACCTTAGTGAGATAGCAAGAACAAGTTTACATTTTCCATCACCTAGGAAACGTTTTTTGTTTTATAAACGCTTTTGACATCATAATCACAGTTTGTTGCAAAGCATGATGGTACATATACATTTTGGATTGGTTACCTGAGGGAACCGCTAACTTTCCAAGCTAACGTTTCTTTCAAGATTTGGTTTCTCTTCAAACAAACACCGATAGAGATGGTGAAGAAGAAACAGCTTTTCACTTGCTGCAGAACCTTCATGTTTCTGCTTGTTCTAATGACAAGAACTACATCAGGTGAGATGATATTCGGTATTATTTAGTATTAGGCACCAACGCGTATGTCCTTGTGGAAATTTCAGGTGTAGTAAAAGATAAATAGACTTTTTTTTTTAAGGGATGACGATTTGTTTTGTTTATCTTCTTTGAATTTCGCGCAAAGCTCTCAAGGGCTATTTGGGTTACTTTTCCATAATTTAAAAGTGATATATTACAAAGAAGACGACTAGTCAATACCACCCACCGCCATCTCTTAGGATACTCTTTTACCAACTCAAAGTGGAATTCATTGTCACATTATAACACCTTCACGGCTAAGAGGACGAGCATGCTATGTGACGGGATTCGAATCCACAATTAACATATTGAGAATGGAGTGCTCTAACCATATAGCTAGATCAGGCTAAATGCGAATCTAGACTGCCATTTATTGGATATTTGCAAAAAAAAGTGATTGAAAAGCTAACGATTAAGAACATTTATAATACAGACTTAAGCGTCAGTCCATGATTACTTGTAGATGAGAACGAACCAAAAGTTGTAAGACTTATTAATATGCTGTTTAAATTAAAAACAAAACATTATTTATATGAAGAATGGGGGATTTCATTTACGTATTATATGATTGTCATTTCAAAAAGACGCCATACCATTTATTTTAATTACTACAGAAGTTTCAAACCGAGCATTAATGTTTAATTTTGACTATTTTAAAGTTCGGAGTTAATATTTCGCTGATTTAATATTATATCTCATGTATATGTTCTTATATTGTTTCTAATGGTAATAATACAGGTTGGTTAACCATTGACTAAAACTCTATATCTTCTGGAATAAAAACAAAAGTTGTAGGTTTAGGAACATTGGTTTAGCTCATATAAATTGTAAACAAAACTAAAATTGAATTTTGAAGTTTGAGTATTTCAACTTTCCTCCAAAAAAACAAAGCGAAAAACAAATAAAGCATTAAAAAAGCACCAAAATGGCACTTGGCTCACAGAAAAAAAGCAACAAAAGCAATA